CCCCAGGAGGGAGCGGGGACTTGTGGGAGGCTTGGGGGGACCCAAGAGGGGCTGTTTTCAGGGCGGGTCCCACTGACCTTTTCCTTGGCGCGCAGCTCACAGAACATGTGCTGGATCTCCCGCTTCCAGTCGTCCTGCAGCGAGTGGAAGGCGTCCAGGGCCATGGAGAACATGGCCGAGTGCTCGATGGCCACCAGCCGCCCCAAGATGCTCCCGAAGGGCGGCCGGGCGTGGGGGTCGGGGTCCCAGCACTCTGTGGGGGAGAGAGAGTCAGCCGGGCCCAGGGGCATCCCCGGAGCCCCCACCTCCTGGGGAGAGCCACCCCAGAGTCCCCACCCCACCCCCCTGGAGCCCCCACTCCTGTGGCGAGCCCCCCAGGGACACCTCAGAGCCCCCCCGCGGGCACTCACCTGCCAGCAGGCGGGCGAAGGGCTCGGGGCAGGTGGAGGGAATGGGCAGCGTCAGCTTGTTCATGGCCACACCGTAGGCTACGGCCAGCGCGTCGATCTCCCGGTACGGCACCTCCCCGGTCAGCAGCTCCCACAGCAGCACCCCGAAACTGCAGCACAGGGACAGGCTGCGTTGGGGGGCGGTTGAGCATGGATCTGGGGGTTGGGGTGACCCCCCCATCCCACCAGGCTGTGACCCCCCCAGCCCTGGGGGATCCAGCCCTCTCCCTCCCCTGGGGGCCCCCGCTCTGCCCGGCCCCGGCACCTCCAGACGTCGCTGCTCTTGGAGAAGCGCGAGAGCCGGATGACTTCGGGCGCCATCCAGGCGTAGGTGCCAGCTGCGCTCATCTTGGTCGTCTTGTGCCACTCGCGCGCCAGCCCGAAGTCCGTGATCTTCAGCGTGCGGCCGCCCAGCTCCCCGTCCTCCATCTTCTCCAGGATCAGGACTGGGGGGGTAGGACAGTGAGGGGGTGTGAGGGGGCACCCAAGGGGAGGGGGCCCGGAGTATCCCCCCGGCTGCCCCCAAGTAGAGTGTGCCAGGCTGCCATGTCCCTTGACCGCCCCTCCTTTGCCCGCTCAGGGGCTGGAGGGGGTCTCAGCCCCCCCAGCAGCACCCCTGTTGGGGTCCAGGCCACAGGATGGGGGGGGTGCACCGGGGCTCATGCGTCTCCATGGCGACCATGCAGCCCCTGCTCAGGCCTGGTGCTGGGCACATCCCTGGGGCTGGAGGGGGGAGTCAGTGTCCATGTGGGGAGCGGCGGGGGGCAGAGAACAGGGGCTCAGTGCTGGGGCGCAGCCTGCGCTAGAGGGATGGACTGACTGCTATGGGGCAGGGGCCTGTCCCCTCTAGGGGGTGCCGCCTCCCCTCCAGTCCCAGGGCAGGGACTGGCTGGCTCAGGGGGGCAGGGGCCTGTCCCCTCTAGGGGGTGCCGGCTCCCACCAGCCCCAGGGCAGGGACTGGCTGGCTCAGGGGGGCAGGGAATGGGGCAGGGGCCTGTCCCCTCTAGGGGGTGCCAGCTCCCGTCCCCTCTAGGGGGT